GGGAAAGACAAATCGCCCCAGGCAAATACCTTCTGAGTCCTTTGAGCGGTTACACTTGAACCTCAGGCTGACCACGCTGACGAGAATAATCACAACCACTATCAGGATAACTATGAAGCTGATGACACCTGGGGATGGAGGAAAGAACGGTCTGCGATCGATGTAACAACGTGCCTGTCCTCGGCTTCTAGGGTAGCGGGGAGACTTTGACTGTCATCAAAACTTGGGTAGGAAATCAGTATTTTCATTAAAATTAGTATGGTATGTAATAGGCAGAGAAGTAAGTGGTCACTAGAGCGGATGGCTTTATCCTCTTCTGTTTTAGCCTCAGAGGGCTTCTGATGAATACTTAATTGGTAAGGCAGTGCCAGGAGGGCAGAAGTCAGCTGATTACACTGGGGATTGATTGAAGTCTATGTCCCTACTACAGTTGGTAAATCTTATCCTAAAGGTGTATAAAGGCAGATAAATACATAATGTAATGGGGAGAGATAAGCTAAAGACTCTGAATGATGTTATCTGTCTCATAAACCAGTGGCCAAGTGCAGATTTGATTCTGGCATCTGGCCTCAATAAATCAAACTATTCTTTGCATGGGAATCTTGTCCTGTTAAGACTGCTTCAGGACTTCTCATGGCTTCCCTTGCAGGATATAAACAAATGATACTTATGTAGTTAACACTTGACTTTTAAAAATGCTTCTGAAAGAACGCTTTTTCCTACAGTGTGATAGAAATGAGCAAATTGGGTTTTTTTTCTCATCTTCATGGAAGAGGGGGACAGTATAGCCCAAGGCAGAGTGGGTCTCTTAAATCTACCCTGTGCCTATCTTCAAATCTATTGCCAGGTTAAGGTACGGCATCTTTTGCTCCATCCTTCTGCAGTCTGAAGGATGTGGAGGACTTGGCTGCTTCCTGCCAAGCAGGGTGCATCTGTACAGGGGGAGGCAGTAAGGCAGGGTGGGAATGAAGTCCCAACAAGTTTGCAAGGAAAGAAAAAATTGTCTAGGCTCCCAGGCAGGTGGCATATTTATTCTAGAAACTATCACGGAAACAAGAGCATAGCATGGGATCATTTGTGCCCAGGTCTTCTCCTAAAGTGGAGGTGGGGCAAACACTGGTGCTGGTAGCAAGATCCCAAGCTCAGCTGTGTAGCCATGATGGACTTTCAAATTGTCTGTCCCTTGTATACTGGGCATGGCTGGGACTGTTTATTAGGTAATTTATTGCCTGCTGGTGACAAGTCTTTTTCTCAAGGGTTTTCCCTTGCACTCTGAAAACTCCAGGATTAGGCATGCTGAAGAAGATGACTGTGAAGCCATCTTTGAAGCTGAGTGTCTAAAACAGCATGGCCTGGCAAAACAGATCCCCCTCCTCTCCCCAGGTTGCACAAGACCTTACCAAAAGCTGCCACCGTCAGTGGTGATTTATCATCTGTTGGCGTGGGCACAGGCAAGTAGCCAGAAGATGTTGGTGTTGGGGTGACTGGCTTTGAGATGCCTACAAAAGGGGAAAAAGGTAGCTTTTATATAAAAGTCTTTCTTCCAAGGTTGGGAAGAGGATTCCTAGCGATGCTAGAGGACCTAACTCACATTTGCACTTTATTGAAGAGAATAACGTTGGATCCTGGCCAGCCCCATCAATGTTAACAGCAAAGTGGCCGAGACCTATGTGGGAATTGGATTGCCTTGGTGTGTCCCCTTTTATCGACAATCTGAGAACACCCTCAGCATTTTCTGCTGGGACCCAAGGGATGAAGCTGAGCATAGCAGGTGAAGGACTGATCTGGCAGTGTGTTTGAGGGAGAGGCTTGTCCCGTCTCCCTTGTTTTACAAACTTTTGCTATAGTGGCACCTTTTCTGCTGTGATTTGCAACCACTGTTCCCAGGCTCAACAGGTTGCCCCAAAGTGCTGCTTCTGTGGAGCTTTACGGCTTTTCAAGGGTTAGATGGGATGGCCAGCATCCCTCAGGTACTCATTGGCCGTTCACCATGCTGCCTTGAAGACTGCAGTATGATGGCCTTGCTGTTGGCTGTGAAAAGGGCTATAAAACATCTAGCGATAACCATCTCTCTGCGTGAGAAAGAAGAAAGCACCTTGAGTTGCTGATGTTGTGGTAGTCTCGCTTCTCTTGGGCTCTCGACCTGCATAGAGAAACGCAGAATGTGAGTCTTGTCCTTGAGTGTCATCTAATAACCAGAAGAATTAGTGGGCATGCTGGAGAGGAGAATGGATTCACAGTGATGCTGGCAATGTCTGGGAAAACATGGAAGTCATACTCGGGCTAAAACCTTCCCACCAAGCATACTTTGTACTATTTTCCATGTCCAAATAGAAAGTCAAGGAACCAAAATTCAAATACCCTTGTATAAACTGTTCAGGCCTTGCAGTCCCAGGTGCAGTTTTTGGGCGGATACAGCAGCTGAATACCGGAAGAGTGAACTGGGAAGGTTATAGATTTGCTATTGCTCATAAACATTGAGACTTGAAAAAAAAATCTGCTTAGAGGAAGAAATTCTGCAGAATATGGCTGTGGATTGACTGTTCATCTTGTCCTTGGAGTTGGAATTAGTGGGTATGCTGTCCTGGGTTCTCTAGAAGTAATTAAGCTAGTTTGAGTTGGGCTAACTTGTACACCGTATGTAGTCTCGCTGTGGCAGCGTAGAGGTTTGTTTGAGCAAGGACTCCAGTTCTCAGTGGGATGAACTGGCTTATCTGAAGCTGTTGGGTTTGTGACAGCTGCTTCCAATGCCTGTGCAAGCAAATTTAAAGCTAGCCTCTGTGTTTCACTTGTACAGATTAAAAAAAACCCCTTTGCTGCCTCCTGAATGTGTGCTGAGCGGCCAGATTATTTGCACTGATCTTAATGAAGAGCTACAGGCCCTGTCAGGAGACTAAAAATGATACTTCAGAGCTTCAGAAGATCATCTGTAGGTCGAGTAGGATCTTCTTGCCTCCTTTCCCATCCCCACCTTCCCAACAGCAGTGTTGGCCAAAAGTATGTGCTGCCCGGAGAAGTGTGAAACAGCTCCTGGCACTCTGCGGTGGACCGCAGGGCGTGCAGCTGAAACTGGAGTTCCTGTCTTGCAGAAAACATCACTGATTTGGAAGGTAATTTTGCCAAAAGTCAGAAGCAAAAGGGGAAACCGTATGAAATAACAGATCTAACTGGTTCAGAAACAGGTAACCACATGGAGCAGAACAGTCCTGAGAAGCAGGGACCGCTGCTGTGCAATTTTTTCACCAGTCATCAAACCCTTTGTTTCATTCCGAAATGGTTCTTCTAGCCACAGGCGATGGGCAGAAGCTGTGGTTTGCTGAGCCTGGCTTGGATACCCCGTCCCTGGGAAATGTTGGGTCTCACACAACAGGAGACTTGGCTTTTGGAAGCATCAGCAACATTTCTATAGTCAAAGATGTATGGAGCTTTTCAGATATAAAGCAGGGTTATAATTAATGGCAATCTGCTCTGATGCAAAGGGCTCTTGGCTTAGCTGGGCACAGGCATGCTGGTTGGACATCTGTGCAGGCAGAGCTGACCACGGGTTTTTAACCTTGCTTGCATTAGAGAAGATCTGAGAGGTACTTGGAGAGGCGGAGCAGTTTCTGTCTTGACCACTGCAGATTTTTGAGGCTGAATCTTTTATGGGGAATCAGCTCAGTCGTCAGATTTCAGTCTTCCCACTCTCTTGGATTCTACCCTTATTCTGAGAAAACTCTTACTGAATCCTCTAATTTTTGCTAACAGGCTGGGTTAAGCAACTGTCAAAAGCAAAATTTTTTTTTTTGAAAGGATGTTAAAAGCGCTCCCTTTTCCTAAACATAGATCAGTCTTTCAAGTTCATCCCAGGTAGACGATGTTAAGTGCATTTGGTCGTGTCTTTTATCACTGCTTGTAAGGGTACCGGACATGATTTTGGGTATTACTGATGGCTCAACCCCATGATAAAGACTAGTGCTTGGATAACCTGCACCATGTGAACCAAGTAAGCTAATGGCCATGAAATTATCTAAACTTATTTTTACTCTATAAAAGGACAAAGTACCTTGAGGTGGTGAAGCTGCTGTGCTTCTACTTCCATTAGACTTTTCATCTGGATAAAGAAAACATGAGAAGGGAGAATTAACTCTGGAAGCTGCTACTAATTGTGCTATGGAGAGCTGTTGGGTTTCCATGGGGTAAAAAACTGTTTGCATGAGACTTCCCCTCAAAACAAACATCAAGATGTCCAGCTAGGAAGCTGTGCAGTCAATGTAGAGAGTGTACATGAGAGGTGAGCTTGGGAGAGGTCTGCTGGGGAGGCTGGGGTGCCTGTAGCTCCTCCACAAAACATTACCTAGGAAAGCATGATCTGGCTTTTCCGATATGGGCTTGCTGTGCAGCTGCCACATCTACGTTGTGGTTGTGTGCAGCCCTGTGCTTTCGGGGAGCGGGAATGAGCTGCTCGTTTAACAAAGACTCAAAAGAGATTCAAAAGTTGCTGCTACTGAGTAAGTGGCATGGTGTGGACTAGCCCAGTCTTTCTGATGCCCCCAGTTTTGCTTGGATAAGGAGGGATGCATAAATAGGTCCTGCCTGAGCAAAAATTGGATTTTTCCATACTTACCTCGCACAGTCAATGCTAGCAGTGTCGTAGCGACGGAAGAGGATTTGGCTGGGGTAGTTTGTCCCACAGAGGTGAGATTCAAGTTGGTTAGTGTTGATTTTACTGAAGGCTCTGTAGAGGAAGCATAGCTTTACTTCAAAGAGCTCTGCTCACCACAAGCTCTGCTCAGAAATGGCTTGGAGGAAGGCATGGGTATTGCAAAGAGTCCTCAAACTCCTTGGGAGTTACGGATAATCTGATAGGGAAAGCATGGGCGTGAGTAGACAAGGAAATAGCCTTCATCCTGCTCAGAGTCAGGGAACTCTTGTACTTCAGCGTTAGCTTTTGATTTTTTTCTTAGTGTACCGAGGTGCTGAGCTCACAGAGAAAGTCTGCTTTTTGCCACTGTTTTTTTCCTGGCTTTGAAAATGAAGATATTTTTATCACTGGACACTTTTAATTGGCTAGAGCTGCCTGGCACCCATGTGTTTGTTTGCTTGTTATCCGAAATGCTAACTTTAATGTTTCATTTCACTGAGAGTCTCTAAGCACAAATAATTCAGTTCTTGTAATGATTTGGAGGCTCTGTCATCTTCCTCAATTTGCTACTCAAAGCTGCATAGCAACAACATGATTCAGAGCAAGATGTGGGGGAAAGAGCTTTCAATAAGCCCTCTGCAAGGAAGAGTGGGTCACTAGCGTGGAATTTATAGGCAAGTTCCTTGTCTAGACTTCTCTTGGCTTTCCAATAAAAATGAGAAAAGAGTGAAAATGGTTTTAAGGTGTGGGGTTTTTTTGTTGTTGTTGTTTTTCTTCTTTTTTTCCAAATGCTTCACCAAAATTTTTGCATTTAGGAATAAGTTTCTTTTTTTCTGCAAGGTATAGAAGCAGAATCTGAGATATTTTTGAGATCTTTTTCCTTTATATTTTTGGGGTCCCTTTGGAGGAGTAGCTATGCTTAGATTTTTTTTTTTTTTTCCAAACATAGCCGGAAGAGATCTCTTTCCAAAGATCCAAGTGGACTAACAGGCGTGGATCTGGAGTTGGAGAGATCCCTTCTTGTATATTTAATTTTCTGTATTTTCAGACTGAAGCATGTAACTTTCTGTTAATACCTCCCTACGCCCACTTCCAGGGCTTCTGTGTGACCACGTACATGTGGTCATGTCCTGAAGCTGGTTTCAGCAGAGGAGGAGAACAGAAAAAAGAGAATAAGGGAACTCCTCAGAGGTTCGTATTACTTTAAAATATTTATCTGTCCTTATGACTGATTGCTGTTTCCATGAAGCTAGATAACAAAGCAAAACCTCCAGCATGAATAACTGAATTAGAGCTAGGGCAGCGTTCAGTCCCTGTGCTGACACAAACATTGCACGGTTTACGACAAGTCTCTTCATGCTTCCCCTTTTCCTCTTGGAGAAATGGGAAACATGTCGACCTGCGGTATGGGAGTGCTGAGGGTGTGCAAAGCACTGGAGGTTTTTAGTTGTTCTCATCTAACCTGCCGCTATACAGCCCCATTTATTGTGGGATGGCCCAGCTGGACTGACGGTCAGACCAGTTACAAGCCAGGATGCCCCTGATGAGCGTTACCTGAGGTATGGTTCTTTACTTCAGGGCTGTGTGTCGTGGGTTGGGATTGACCTGTAACACAAGCAGAGAGACATGGAGGTGACATCTCCTATGTGTGCAGGATCTCCGTGGGGAGGGTTGAAGGATGGGCCGGAAAGGGACCATTATAGCCAGTAAGAGCTGAAAGGGTGATAGGGGCAAGAGGTGCGAAGGAGGGAGTTTGTCACTGGTGTGGCTATGGGGACCTGTGGGTGAAGGAACCTTGGCTCTGAGGATCCATGGAGGAGAGCATGCTAACTGCTAGGAGACAGCTGGGGGAAACGGGAAGAAAAGATGAGGCAGGATCTCTCTGCTTTCGTTAGGCTTCCTGGAACACCGCATAGCTCTTTTCCGGACAAAAAGGGGAGCCAGGTGAGGTTATCATCTGGGATGCAGTGCCCTCCATGGCCCCTGGAGATCTAGGGGTGAGTGATGATAGATGGGGCAGGCACAGGTGGGCAATGCAGGGTCCGGGGAGAAGGTGCTTCGGCAGATGGGAGTTTTGAATCTGGTTTCCATTTGTGGACTCTCCATTTGCATTCCCCTATGGGCATGTGCATCCACATCCAAATAAACATATAAAGCAGATCACAACCCAGGAGGTACCTGTTACAGCGTGGACAGAAGAGTCTGTGGAGGTTGTAGTACCTGAAATGAAAGAGGAAGAGCATTAGCGGTGCTAATCTGTGACTGTCGCTAGCGCATTGGTGTTCTTGCTGGTTGTGTGGTTTGGGTTTTCCTTGTTTTCTGTAGGAATGACTTTGAAACACGTGATTTCCCCAAAAGCAGTAGTAAAGAAGTAATAGCAAACACTGAGGGCAAAACTATCAAGTTCTGAGTAAATTAGTACTGGAGTTTATTCAGCCAGGATAAATGCCCTCCTCCCGAGGTGGAGCCGAACCCTTCACAGAGCCGTCGTCTTCTCTTCCAGGGGCTGTGCAAGGCGCCGTATAAATCAGTGGGGTCATTCCCTCCCCACCAGCTGTTTGCCTCCGGCTCAGTCTAGGTGGAGAAAGGCTGTTTGACCTGTAGTCTGGAGCTGTTTAAAGAGTTAAGACACACACTGGATGAGGTTTGTAAAGGCTTCCAGGAGCCTTTGGGACTGTTTTTCCTTCCTGTCTCCTGCCTCTGATCCTTCTGTCCCCTGTATTTGTATCCTGGGAAGCTGGCTGAAGCCTTGTGGCTCTGTAAGTGGGGACACAGGGAGGGGGCTGTGGCTTAGGGACTGACTCAGAGCTGCCTTCCCTGGTCTGCCCAAGCTTTGCTCTCCCAGGATTGTAGCTGTTGCACCGAGCCCCTAGTTTCTCAGCTGAAAAGTGGTTTTGTTTGTTTTTTTTTCGACAAAGCATCCCTGCACCAATCCCCCACGTTGCCTGCTCTCAGGATACCTCGTGTTTTCCTTTAACCTCCAGCTATCTTTAAGCCCAACCATTAGATGAGATGCCAATTAAAAATGCAGCCATTTAAAACTGAAAAAAGAAATGTCCAGTTCCTGTACCTGGGGACAAGAACTGGAAAATGTAAATGCACTTTAAACGCTCAAATCAAACCCAACTGATTTGAGAAGGTGACTTTGAGTCTGTCGTTTTGGAAATGCACATCCTAATTGGTATTTTTAAATGGTTATTGCTGGTAATCCTGGTGCTGCCTGTAGTTAAGATTAATGAAAGAAGCTACATTACAGCTCCAGAAACCAGGTGAATCTGATCCCACCAGTGATCCGTCTCACCGTAGTCCCACGAGAGCTAAAGGTTTCAGACAAAAAGGGACAGCAGTACAGGTTGAATCCTTCCAGCCCACTGTCCCCTTGTAATGCCCCGTAACTCCATTGCAACAGTGGTGTGTGACGAGGTGCGGTGCCTTTGCAGGACGCTACACCCCAAGGTGTGACAGGAGAGGAGGTCCAGGAAGGCTGGCCAGAGCAGAGCAGTGCTTGTGTGCCCATTTACAACCAGAATCTGTCCTCCCCATACACGAGATTCATCTCGTCTGCTGCTTTACATCTCTCCTGAGCCAGCCTGCAAGAGAGCTCATCTCCAGGTTCTCTTTTCTCACCAAAGAGAGGACCAGACACTTCCAAAACCCTATCGCTCTGACCTATTTCAGATCTCTACCTTACTGCCTTACCTTACCTTACCTGTTTCAGATTTCTACTAGAGGAGCTAGAGGAGCCACAGCCTGCAACACCCCGTATCTTACCAGTTGCTGTAGAGGCGAGGTAGGCAATGAAATTCGTGGTAGGTACCTGTTGGTGTCTGAAAGAGGTCAGATAAATGCCCTGATAGCGGTGCGTATCTGGAATGAGATCTTCAGCAGCCAGTGTATGTGGGTTATCAGGGCTTGGCTCAGAGCTCAGCCCTTGGGACCGTCTGGGTGTAGCAAGCTCCTGATTGATCTCATTTTTCTCATGTAACTGCATTGGAGCTGTAATTGTTTTTTTGTCTGAGGCTTTATGACAATGGCCCCAGCCAAACAGGAACCAAAACAGTGTGTAAACCGTGGTGAATACATAATAAAATGTAGTCTCTTTCCAGATAGGATTTGGCTGTGAAAATCAGGTCTGACTTTTCAGATCTTTTCCATGCTTTTCTCTTCTAGCTTACTGGGTAGCAGGCTGGCAAAATCTGTCTTGTTTAGTCCATGAGAGGAGCCATGATCAGATCTTTAATTACATAGAGAGGAAGGGACTGATTTGTTTTCTAAATCCATTGGGAACAGGACCAGAAAACAAGGACTTTAACTGCAGCAAGGAAGAGGGAGGCTGGACAGTAGGAAACTGCCTTGACATAAAGATAGTGAATTGCTAAGAATGATTGCATAGGAGAATTATAGAATATCCCTCTCTGCAGGTTTTGAAGAGCAGGTTAGATGAACATCAGTCTAGTAACATAAACAGGATTATGAACCGATGCAGCATCACTTACTAAATCAATTAATATAATGGAAAAAAAAAGACCTTTTGGGCACACGGTTGTTCTTAAAGAGGTCTAGAGACTCTGCTTTTGAGGAAGGGGAATGCCCCCCTTCGCAGCCCGGTCGCCTGGGATGCTGTGGGGCACTGCCTGCTCCCCAGGGGCCCAGCTGACTCCATGGAGTGAGGTGACTTGGGCTGTTTCTATCGATCCCAAGATTGTGCCAAGTTTCCTCTTTGTTGCTGGGCTTCCTCTTCTAAAACAGCTTTATAACACAATTTCTGGACATTGGCTTGCAAATGCTTTAAGGTACTCTGTATACATTCAGCACAAAAAATAATGTGCTGAGGTCATCATGGGGGCCAGTATCCTCTAGCAGCTGTCAAACTCAAACAGCTCCTCTTTCTCCAAAATTCCTTTGCAGAAGCCATTCTCTTGTTTTCCCATAGGGAAGGGTAGCTGCTTGTAACACATTGTCCTTTCTAAATTATCACAGGTGCTTTTTAATGTACATGGCACGTGAAAGTACCGAGAATCGCTGAAGAAAGAGCTGTTGTCTACACTTAGTCTTTATTGAAGGAGAAGGGGAATAAAGGTGTTGAGCTGGCCCTTTATTCCACCATTTTTGGTGCAGCTGAGGAGAAATCTGAGAGCTTGAATGGAGCTTGTAGGGATGGGAGGAAGCTGAGACCAAGGGAGTGTGTACTTGCTGTGTACTGCCATCCCTGATGGGACCATCCCGTGGGCTAGTTCCAGCATCCTTGGTACTGGGGCAAGAGGAAGAGGATCGTACTCAACACTTTCTTCCACCACAGCTCAGCCCTTTGCTGAAGGTCACGCCAGAGCACTGGCTCATAAGGAGCTCTCCATTTGCAAAACTAAACCTTGGGGTTATTGTAAGATGAATAAGCAGGTTTTTTTTCAGTGCTCAGTCCCTGGAGTTCAGCTGGCCAAGTAGATGCTCACCCTGGTCTGCCACGTTTGAGTTTTGCTGCTGAGAAGTGACTGGTCTTGCTGTGAAGAGGCCAAGGGATGGAGATCTCCTTTTGACACTTCACTCAGGAATAAATGTCCCTGGCTTCTCTAAACACAACCGCACATTATCGCAAAGCGGGGCAGGTCTGGCTCTGACTTCTGGCCACTGCTGCTTGTTATGCCTTCCCTGCCAACTCAAATAATCAAAAGTCCTGTTATATTAGGTGTTTTCTTTTGGTGAAGGTGCTTAGCATCCCAGTTGAATTACATCGGAGGGGGACGGACGTGAGCAAAGCAGGAAGAGACCCAAGCCACGTCGTGGGGCTGGGTAGCAGGATGGGTACGAACAAAAAAAGGGCCACGCGTCGCGGCTCCCTGCAGACGTCCCCGGGGGACTCTCGTGCAAACGGTGCTGGAAACCGTTTCCTCCCGGTGCCGCTGCCAGCAGGGCCCTGCTCCCTTCCACGGAGGGCCCTGGCTGTATAAACAGCTAACAATAATAATCAGGATGCAGCCAGCGCAGCTGTAATTGCAATAAACATCAAAGCCATTCAAATGACTCACCATTGAGCCTAAGCACTGCCGAGATATTTGTTGAGTGTTTGGGTGCAAGTGATTTATAGCTGGATTGTGCAGTTCTAGGTGGAGACGGGGAGCTTACTGAGGGATTTATGATGAGAAATACAGCTTTCGGCTCTTGCTGTAATGAGAAACTCCTGATTGCCCAGGAGACCCGTAGGGCTGCAGAGGAGCGCGTCGGAGCTGCAGGTGCATTTCAGCTCTGACTCAGCACTAGCTGCTTTTCGGTTAATTTTTCTAGAGGATGAGAGGGGGAATTTTGGCTTTCTCTTAGGTCTTCTGTGAGGTTAGATGTGAGTGTCAGACTGAGAGCGGATGGGTCTTTCCATGGGGCCATCTCTCATGACAGCTGACAGCCAGCAGCTCACCCTGCTCACTCCTCAGCCCAAAAAGAGAATTATGTGAAACAAAATGGTGAATTTTAGGTATTTCTGCTTTGGTATTATTTTTAGCAATCGTAGACATTTAAAGAGTGGTTTCTCCAGCTGCTGACCAGAGGCACTGACAATTTAAATCCCCAAACTTTACATAGAGCCTCCGTATAGCAGCAGTGCTGTAGCAGACACCCGGGCCAGCTGTTGGAAACACTTCAGGAGGGTTCAGATGAGGATCTCCGACACTGGTATGGAGGCACAGGGACTGCGACTGATCCTGTCCACTCAGAACTGGTGATGGAGAGGGACCGTCTATCCCCAATGATGTGTAACGCTGGACTTGCTGGACTTTTCTCCTCCCCTGGTGGTTTTGGGGGGAGATGTAGTGATGTCCTACCCGTCCCCAGGTAGCAGATTGCATGGCAGGGAGCTGCAGAGCCCGTGTGACATTGTGCAGCCATGCTGTACCAACCTCGGTGTCACCCTCTGTTTGCTGGTTGCATAAACAAATGCTTTCAGAAAAGAGACCTAGCCACCTAAAATTAGACTTTTCAATTCACATATTATTGGCATTTCCTTCAAACGACCCATGACAAAAATATACTGACCGCTTAACAGAAATGCAGCTGTTTCTTGGGTGAAACGCAGCAGCTGCTGAAGCAGCAGAGAGCAACAACACCCAATTCTTAGGACTTTCACATGGAAAAAAATTCCTGTATTAGGAAACCTGAAAAGCAGAGAGCTCTGCAAAAGTCTAGGTCCTATTTTATGAAGCACCTAACAAAGGTGCCTCTGCCTTGAGGGTCTC